AAGCTGACTGGGAACGAAAAGAGGAAAAGAGGGCACTGGTAAATGTATGTGTGGGGGAGATTGGCGGCGGCTGTGGAGGGAGAGAGGGAGGGCGGGAGGGAGGGAGGGGAGGGGAGGGGAGCGGAGCGAGAGAACGGCGAGGAGCAGTAATGACGGTGTGTGGTAATGAGTGAGGGAAGTAGCGCCACGACGTGTCCACCTGAGAAGAAGCGAGACGATTCCGCTGACATCGTTGGCTGGTCGCCTCGAGTAGTGCCACGTGTCTTTTTAGAGTAGTGCSACGTGTCCTTTCCTAAGAAGCCGGAGTCGTTACTCTAAACCCACTGCCCTTTTCTGCCGTTTATTTCGTGTTAACCAAGTCCAAAAAGAGGAAGATAGTGCCACGTGTCCGCCGATTTCAGTTCAGTGTGCCACGTGTCCAGGGTACCACTGTCCGCCGTTCGGTGTGCCAAGTGTCCAGTGTGCGACGTGTCCGCCGTTTCGTTCTCAACCGCTGAGATCAATGAGAGGGAAGTACTGCCACGTGTCCCGTAATGCCACGTGGCGAGCGATGCCACGTGTCCAGTAATGGTGCGTTTGCACTGTGACACGTGTTCAGTATGCTGTAGTGCCGCGTGTTCGATGCGGACTTCTTGATTAATCACAAGTAATATACGTGTTAGTGAGCGGTCTCCATCTCAACCGAGCGCATAGAGCGGGGGAGAGGAAAATAGCAGCGGGGAGGGGGCGCAACATCAGAAGAAGAAGCAAGGTCGCGCCTGCGCCGCTGCGCTGGCGGCGGGAGCAGGAGTGTAGTGGTAGTAGCCGTAGGAGTAAGGAGGCGGAAGAAGGGGGAGGGGAGGAAGGACGGGAAGGAGAAAGGAGTGAAGAGTACGCGGAGGAAGAAGGGGAAGGCTAAGAAGGGGGGGAAGGCAAGTAGAGGAAGGAAAAAGGGGGGCAAGGCAAGAAGAGGAAGGCTAATAAGGGGGGGCAAGGCAAGAAGAGGAAGAAGAGTGAAGAGTACAAGGAGAGAAAGAGGAGGAGGAGGAGGAGGAGGAGGAGGAGGAGAGGGGGAAAGGAGAAAAGCGAGGAAGAAGAGAGAGAGAACGTGGGAAAATCAGGAGAAAGAGGAAGGTGAAGAAGGGGAGCTAGGGAAGAGCAGGAGAGAAAGAGGAGGGGAGGAGGAGAAAAGGGTAGGAGAAGAAGAGGACGAGGGAGGATCAGGAGGAAGAAGAGGAGAAAGCCAGCAAGAGGAGCCAGGGAAGTGGGGTAATCGAAGGAGAGAGGAGTAGTAGAGAAGATACAAGAGCAGGAGAAGGGGAAAGAAAAGGAGGAGACGGAGGAGAAGGAGGAGGAGGAGGAGGAGGAGGAGGAGAATAAGAAGACGAGCAAAACGGAGGAAAGCACGATGCTAGAGGCAGTGGTAGATAATGGGTATATAACGAGTCCTGTGGGGTTAATACGGCGGGATTCGAGGGTGGTTCTTCAGCAGCCACCACCTCCCCCTCCCTTACACAACCTCCCACCGCCATCACCGCCAACTCTTGCTCTGCTGCCACATGTCAGCTCAAAGAATCTGGAGGATCTGTTTAAAGATTATGGCTTGAGGGCAGCGACGGTGATGACCATGCTGCAGATGGGATTTACAGTAAACACGTTGGTGAATATGACCGAGAACGAGTTGGATTACGTAATTAAGACAATGATAGAGAATTCCAACGTGGAGTTGTTGGTAGGAGAAAGATTTGGGATAAAAGCAGCGTGCAGGGCAGAGAGGAGATGGCTGGACGAGCAGKCGGAGAGACAAARGCTGGATGCTCTCGCTAAACTGGAGCGAAAACGGAAACTCGATGAAGATGCAGCCACGCAATGCGCGCGACAAGGTCTGTGTGAAGCTATCCTCCTCTCTCTCTCTCTCTCTTGTGGTTCGATTTTCTTCCTATCTCTCTCTCTCTCTCTCTCTCTCCGTTTACCCGCTTCAAAGTTGCCCTGCTTCTCTTTCTTTTTTCCTTTTGTGGTCTCACTACCTCTCTCTCGCTCTCGCTCTCGGTTCACGCGTTCGATGCGCTGCGGAAGAAGAGTATTCATGCACCTTTTATCTCCTGGGGAAGAGAGAGAGAGAGAGAGAGAGAGAGAGAGAGAGAGAGAGAGAGAGAGAGAGAGAGAGAGAGAGAGAGAGAGAGAGAGAGAGAAAATTGGTATTGGTTCGCTGCTTGTCTTTCTGCTTCTCTCGAATCTCGTTGTCCTCCGTGGTGAGGGACTCGATTTTGATTGCGGATTTTTTGATTGGATGGTTTAATAGATGACACGTGTCCTTCTGTCTGTTGGCGGCGTTGAACGTGTTTTAACCTGTGCCACTGTCTGTCTGTTTGCCTTTCTCTCTTCCTTCCTCTCTCCCCCTCTCTCTCCCTCTCTCTCTCCCTCTCCTCTCCTTCTCACTCCCTCGCTCTCTCTCTCTCTCTCTCTCTCTCTCTCTTCTCTCTTCCTCTTTCTTTGGTTAGTCATTTACCTCTCGGTGCTACACGCCTTTCCCTTTCCCTGTGTCGTAAGCGTCCTGTGATCGAGTCCTCCTGCTGTCGCTACGTTCTTCCCCCAAAGATAATGCCCCATCATCACGGATGTATTCAAACCCGTTTCCGGTACAAATACATTCACGATGTGGTCGCTGTGTTCCGTGGAGTAAGGTAGTTCCTTGGCTATGTATCAGTCTATTGAACCTTGGAATAAAACTTACGGTCATTATAGCTGTATTTGGGGCGATATTCGGTCTAGGTACAGCCATAATTACCGT